CTGTTTTGGCCAATGGGCCTGAGAATAGGGTCTGTCTTGTCCATATACTATGTACTGAAGCATCGGCTCTGGGAAGAACCGAGAGCAAGTTGGGTTATCTAGCTATTACCAGGCCGTTCTTCTGATGAGCACTAAAGATAAAACCAGAAGTTGCAAAGTCCTAAACCCCAGGACCTCAAATGTGACCTTATTTGGAAATAGGGTCATTACAGATAATTAGTTAAGATGAGATCATTAAGGTGGGCCCTCATCCAGTAACACGGCTGTCCTTATAAAAGGAGGAAATTTGGACATAGACAGGCACAGAGGGAATATGGTGTGAAGGGAAGGGACACAGGGGTTGGAGGGAAGGAGGGACGGCCACCCACAAGCCAGGGAGAGAGGCCTTCCACAGATTCTCCCTCACAGCCCAGAAGGAACTAACCCTGCCAACACCTTGATCTCAGACTGCTAGCCTCCAGAACTGTGTGAAAATATATTTCTGTCATTTAAATCCCCCAACACACAGTTTTTTGTTACAGCCACCCTAAAAAGCTAATAGAGACATGGGGTGCCTGGGTGGCTCAGTCAGTTAAGCATCTGCCTTCAGCTCAGGTCATGATCTCAAGGTCCTAGGATTGAGCCCCATGTCGAGCTCCATGTCGGGCTCCACACTCAGCAGGGAGTCTGCTTGAGACTCTTTCCTCCTACCCCTCCCCACTCTCTAAAATAAATAAATCTTTTTTTAAAAAAAACTAATAGAGATGTAAAGCATCAACTAAGAGAACTTATATATTGTCCTTGTGAAACTGAATGTCCTCCTCGTGAAATTTTCCTACCTTTCCCTCTTATGTGGCTTACAGGGCCTTGTGAATCTCCTGGAGACTGAAGTTTAAATGAGAGCCCTATGGGCAGGTAGAAGAGGAGGCGTGTGCTGATGTCCTAAGCACCTGCTATTCCTTTGATTACCCGAAAATTGGGCTCTCCTGCACCACAGACTTCGGGATATGGAATGAAGATCCAAGCTCCCAGCACCTGTTTCTTTATCTGGCCCAGGCTGCCCTGCCCAGGCCTGCACGAACCTGGGAGGCAGGCCCACGCCTTCTCCCCAGCAGCAGGGCTCCAGGCTCCGCAGCCAACCCAGAAAACCACCCGCTCATCCGGATCCAGCCCAGGGCTGCTCCCTCAAGTCTGCCCCAGCCTGCAGCTGCCTTCCCTAAATAAGCCTCCTCAAACAGTCCTTGTCTCTTTCCCTCCCCACTTTTCATTCACCAAAATAAATTTAAAGAATGGCTTCTCATGGTTCTCAACTCTGGCTATATACTGGTCTCCCTTGGGTGTTGTTGTTTTTTTAAATGCAACTGTCTGAGCCCTACCCCAGGTCACTTGAAACAGAATCTCTGGTTGGTAGCTGTAGTATAATACAAGTATATATATTTGGTCTTTGTCCCCAGTTGGCACAGAGACCCTAAAACCCCTAGAATTTGCCGTGTTATTGGAATGCTTTTGTTATTCATAATGAGCCTCTCTGGGCCACACCTGAGTTTAGGGTAACGAGGTGACTCAGGCTGGTGCCCCTTGATAGATACAGGATATATTCAGGATGGGGGTGGTCACCAGAAGACCACACTTCTGATTGGGGGTAGAAACTCTTAGCCTCACCCCCAATGTCTGGGAAGGGGAGGGAGGCTGGAGACTGAGTCCAATAAAAACTTGAGATTTGGAGAGCTCCTGAGGGGCACTCCTGAAGAGGGCCCAGAAGCTTCCATCTCTTCCCCCATGCCATGCCCAGAACATCTCTTCCACTTGGCTCTTCCTCAGCTGTATCCTTCTAATAAATCTGTAATCCTAAGTAGAGCCTTTCCTGAGCCTTTTGAGTTGCCCTAGTGAATCATCAAGCCTGAAGGGGAGGGTGGGAACCCCCAAATCTATAGTCAGCTGGGCAGAAGCGTGGCCTCCTGGGGACCTCTCTCATGGCTGCTGTCTAACATAGAGGCAGTCTGCTGGGACTGAGTCCTTTGACTTGCGGGCTATCACCCCAACCCCAAGTAGGTAAGTCAGGGTTGAACTGAACTGTCGGGCACTCAGCTGGTGTGTGGAGAACTGGAGAATTGGTTAGTGTCAGGAAAAACCACAGGGGCAGTGGCAGCTATGAAGTATACCACTCAGCTCTCTTTCAAAAGCACCTGCAAAGGGGAGACTATCCCAGTTGTGTGGTGGGTCCCCTGCTGCCCCTTTGGATACCACCCTGCATTCATGCTGAGGCCACACTCAGGTGACCAACTCATCAGGATTTGGCCAGGATGTTCCCAGTTTGAGCATGGAAGGTCGCAGGTCCCAGTAACCTCTTCAGTCTTAGGCAAACCAGGGCAGTTGGTCACCCTATGATGCACGTGCACACACACGCGCACACACACACACACATACACACACTGCTCCAACCTGGGACTGCGCACTGTGGAGTACTAGTTCTGCCTCATTCCTGTGGGATGGAACACTTCCGACAGGTCACTTTTGCTCGGGCACATCCCATCAGCCTGGCCTCAGGGGTCTCAGAACCACACTGCTGTCTCAGATCTTTCCAGCCCCTCTCCCTTGCAGGTATCAACTGTGGACCATGGGCCCGTGGCCCTCCCCACCACTCCTGCCCTTCCGTCCCTCCTCTTTCACAAATGTTGCCCCCAGTAAATCTCTAGCCTATCTCAGAGGACACAGAAACACACTTATCAGTGTTTTTTAAATCTCAAGTGATTGTGATACCAGACAGGTTTGAGGACCACTAGCCAGAGGTGCTAACTACCAGTGTGCCTGTCCACGATCCAATGGAGAGACCAACGTGCAAACTTCTTATAATAGTACCAAATGGAAAATGCAGCAATCAAGATATGAGCTAAATATTCTGGAAGTACTGAGGAAGAGAGAGAATGCCCTGGTGATACAGGAGATGATTTCAGCTTCCAGTGCTGAGTGACAACAGTGGTTCTCCTGAGCTCGAAGTAGAGAATTCTTACTATTTTTCTCATCATAACACATCACTGTGATAAAGTCATCATGTATTGTGGACATAAATTCAGAGATGCTTTACTCCCAACATTCCTGGCCACCAAATATGTTGGGGGGGCAGGGGGCGGTAACACACCAACCAATTCTCTCTGGACACCACAGTTCAATTCAGTTCTAACTACTAACTACTACTAATACTAACTACTCAGAGTTAGCACTGGGGCCACAGGTTAAAAGCTCAGTGCCCCTTGAGACCCTGAGCCCAAGTCCCAGGTCGTCTATCACCTGTGCTTCTGACTGACCCACTGTAAATCCAGAGTTCCCACAACCCCCTCCTCAGACACAACAGTTGGCTAGAATTGCTCACAGAACTCAGGAAGACCCTTTGGTTGTCATTACTGGTTTCGTATAAGGAATGGAACTTAGGAACACCACATGGAAGAGAGGTATGAGGTCCAGTGCTTGGAGCTTCCATGCCGTTTACTGGTGCGCCACCCCCCTGGCACTGGGGCGTGTTCACCGACCAGACAGCTTTCCAAACCCTGTCATTTAGAGGTTGGTATGGCGTGGTACAGGCATGATTGATCAAATCATCAGCCTCTGTCAATTAACTCAATCTCCAGCCCTCTTCCTTCCCCAGAGGCTGGGGGTGGGACTGAAAGTTCTAACCCTCTAATCACTTGGTTGGTTCCTCCAGCAACCAGATTCCCTCCTTTTAAAAAAAAAAAAAAAAAAAGATATTATTTATTTATTTATCAGAGAGAGGAGCACAAGCAGGGGGAGCTGCAGGCAGAGGGAGAGGGAGAAGCAGGCTCCCCAATGAGCAGGGAGCCCGATGCAGGGCTCCATCCCAGGACCCTGAGATCATGATCTGAGCCAAAGGCAGATGCTGAACCACCGAGGCGTCCCAACCAAAGCCCATCCTGAAGCCATCCAGGGACCTACCAAGAGTCACCTCATTAGCATAAACTCAGGTATAGTCGAAAGGGGCTTATTATGAGTAACAAAAGATGCTCTTCTCACCTCTGTCACCCAGAAAACTCCAAGAGTTTTAGAAGTTCTTGTGTGAGAAACTGGAAAAAAGACCAAATATTATAACAAAAGATGCTCCTCAGGAAACTATAGAAGTTTTAGGAGCTGTGTGCCAGGAACTGGAGACAAAAACCAAATATATATTTCATTTTATATCACAACATCATATAAATTCACAGATCTGATTTCCAGTGAATTCTACTGAAATCAGTAGAAAGGAAACTGACCTCCTCAAATATGCTGGTAAGAGAAACTGGTGTGTGTGTGTGTGTGTGTGTGTAACATTGCATCAATAGGGCTAAAACTGTCATGCGACCAACACACATACTTTAGCAATGTAGAGATTTTTACATCAACTGTCTCCAATAATTTCTGGTTTTCCTTTTAAAAAATGCATCACTAATTATAGGATGGTTAGCCCAGCTGGAAGCCTTTTATCCTTGCTGGATACAGCCATTTCCCAGCAAAGCTAAAAACCAGCTAAGTGCTGTGTGTGGCATTTTAAAAGTCAAATATTACACAAGGTCACATATGAATCACTTTTTTCCTAAATTAATGCATTATTTTGATGTTCCAGGAAGAATTTTCTAATACATATTTTCTTTCACTTCAACTATTAAGCAATTTAAAACAGAGGCCTACATCACATCCCACTGGACTGTCAATCTCCAAGATAGCTAGATTCACACAAGCATATTGAAGTAGTTCTCTATAAATCTGAGATAGAGGAAAAAAGAAAACACAAATATTTTCTTATGCATTTTTCATTCTAACCATAATCTGCAGTGGGAAGAAGATGGACCATAATTGTTTTGCGGACAGGTTTTATCTTGTTTTTTTATCATGATCACATTATATAACATAAACTTTACCATTAATAACACCTGGTCCTCTGCACAAAAGAGGGGTCTCCTGCATCATATTGCATATTCACATTCTGTGCCCTAACACACCCACAGAGTCACAAACACATGCACACCTCTGACCTCACTCTGGGGATCCTGACACCTTGTGAAAACACGATGGTCTTCAGGCGGTCAAGAGAAATGAGCCAATGAGATGAAGAGTCTGTAGGGGAAGGAGATACGTGATTTGTTCCTGTTGGGTGGAAAACAGACATCACAAATCTAAAATAATGAAAGGGGTTGATCTGCTTAAAAGAAGGGTACAATTTTATTTCTATAGCTGTCCATGGTTCCTTCGCATAAAAATAGGAATTAATGTGGACTCTCAGAAGCACAGAGGGAAAATAACTGTGTCTCACATTTGCCTCCTCTTCAAGCCACCTCCACATCTCCCCTGTGCATTTCATGAGCAAATATCTTAAAATCATAATCTATCCTCATTTCTCTTAACTTCCATGCATTTCTCAACCAACTGCAACTTGGCAGTGCAATGACATGGCTCCTGATAACTCTCTCTTAATTCCCAGCCCGGTGCTTTAGTTTTTGGTTTTCAGCCTAGCTGAGCCCTCTAGAATACATGGACACTATTGATAAATGGCCTTAAGACACACACACACACACACAAACACACACACTTTGCTCCTAGAACATCTCTCACTTGTAAATCTTTCTCTGGCTACTTCTTCTGTTCGCCCTTACATGTCTGGATTCCCCAGTTTCTTTCCTGGCTTTCTCATTAATTCTACATTCTTTCCTTAGACAATCTCCACTCTTGGCTTCTGCTTCTATACTGAAAACTCTGACCTGAGTGCTCCCCATTGTTCCTATTCTAAATCTCCAGCTGCCTCCTGGACATCTCTTCTCTACCTTATTAGCATTTCCTACTTCATGTGTCTAAAACCAAACTAAAGATAGATGGATGGGTGGATGGATGGATGGATAAAACAAAAATCTCTGTCCTTTGCATTCTTTCTTTCTATGAGTTAATGGCACTGTCTTAGTCAGCTCAGGCTGCCATAAGAGAATACCGCACTCTAGGTGGCTTGAACAATAGACATTTATTTCTCACAGTTCTGGAGGCTGGGAAGTCTAAGATCAAGGTGCCAGCAGATTCCGTTTCTGATGAGAGCTTTCTTCCTGGCTGGCAGACAGCCGCCTCCTCACTGTTTGCTCACAGGAGGGAGAGAGAAAGAGAGCTAGCTCTCTTGTGTCTCTTCTTATAAGAACCTGAATCCTATTGGATCAGGGCCCCACCTTATGACCTCATTTTACCTTAATCACCTTCTAAAGTCCCTATTTCCAAATACAGTCACATTGGGAGTTGGGACTTCAACATATAAATGTACAGCGAACACAATTCAGTTCATAGCAGGTACCATGTTCCAAGCTAGGTCTTGTCTTGACTCTTCCTCTCCCCTATATGCAGCCAGACACCCCAATTAATGGGTTGCCATCCCTAACTTTCTCTTTAGCCCATTTCTTCCTTCCACCTCTACCCTTATGCTTCCAGTTCAGGCCCCCTTGCACCTCACCTGAACCACATCCTTTGGGTTCCTGCTCCTCTTTCTCCCCACTACCTTTCCACTATGGTACTGCCAGGTCTGCATCCAAAATAACAGATCTGATCGAGATGTCCAAAAACTGTTCTACGAACAGTCCATAAACTTCACGGCACAGTCTTCCCCCTATCTAGACCTCATCTAACCGCTGTGGTCTCATTCCTAGCCATTGTCCCCATACGTCATGTTCTGGGCACACTAAGTGTCTTGCTGTTCCACCTTCCCACTCTTTTCTCCATTTATGCAGAATTTTCCTCTATTTGGAATATGCCTCCCTTCCTTCTTTACTTGGTAAGTTCATGCCCATCTCTCAGGCCTCAGGTTAAATATGATGTCCAAGAAGGATTTCTCAACCCCTCCGCTTAGCTACCCACCGTCCTATTCATATCCTGTTGCAGCACTTGCCATATTTATACATCAGTCCCCTCCCCAAATAGGCTTGAACTTCCTCATGAGTAGTGACAGACTGTCCTTTGCTGCTGAGCACCTGAGCTCCACCCTTAAGTTATCTGATAAATGGAAGTGGGAGCAGAGTGTGTTGCGGGGATGTTGGGGGAAGGCATGCGGTACAAGTTTTGTCCTTAACTTTTCTGAGTTAAAAAGTAAATCCTTGGGGTGCCCGGGTGGCTCAGTCCTTAAGCGTCTGTCTGCCTTCGGCTCAGGTCATGATCCCAAGGTGCTGGGATCGAGCCCCACATCGGGCTCCCTGCTCCGCAGGAAGCCTGCTTCTTCCTCTCCCACTCCCCCTGCTTGTGCTCCCTCTCTTGCTGTGTCTCTGACAAATAAATAAATAAAATCTTTAAGGGCGACTGGATAGCTCAGTCGTTAAGCGTCTGCCTTTGGCTCAGGTCATGATCCCGGGGTCCTGGGATCAAGTCCCGCATTGGGCTCTCTGCTCGGCGGGAAGCCTGCTTCTCCCTCTCCCACTCCCCCTGCTTATGTTCCCTCTCTCGCTGTGTCTCTCTCTCTGTTGAAAAATAAATAAAATCTTAATAAAATAATAAAATAAAAAAATAATAAAAAATAAAGTATATCTTTAATATTTGCAATTATGCATGTGTATGGGCCATTTAATTTTGCAGACAGTACTAGATTTTAAGCATTTCTCTTATATATGTAACAGTGCTAATTTTTAAAAAATTAAGGAGACCACCCAGATTACAAGGCAGCTCTTCCATTCCCAAAAGAAACGTGTGTTACTCCTAACTAGGATACTTCCCGAACGATTCAAATATGATTTTCAGTCTAGTATATAAATGCAAGGGTCATTATATTTTAGTATCACCGAGCTATCATATTTATTTTAGGTTAAATTCTAAAGAAACCTAAAAGAAAAAGGTTACAAATGTCCTCAATTTAAAGCTCCCCTGGGGTGAATGGCCTGATCTGTGCTCCGGAGCACCAGAATTTTTAGAGATGATATAAAAGGTGGGTTGACATTAAAACAAAACAAAATCTTAATTAGCCAGAATAAATCTTTGCGCCTTTCGGGCCATACGCTCCCAGGACAGAACCCTTTGAGATGTGTACCAGAGGTGGGAAATTTAGACAAAAACCCCAGAGTCACGTGAGAGGCCGGAGCACAGATGCCCGGGCAGTGCTTTCAGGAACTGCTTCTCACCTATTAAGCCGGATTTTCTCGAACGCAGCGGCTGGGCGAAAGCCTTTTTGTTAACAGTCTTCCTATTGTGAGGAAGCTGAAAGACACAAAAATGTTCAGGAATCAGAACACTCCCATGACCTTAGGTGATGCTTAAATATTGCCTCTACTTTACATCATCTGGGAGCTTTCGCTTCACGATGCGCAGGAGGAACGCACGGTCCCTGAAGTGAGAGCCACCTCAGGCAGGACAGAGCCAGCCAGACCTTCCAGAACCCAGGAACGGGAGCTGTGCAGACCGGAAGCCTCGTGCTCCTCTCCTGGCTGGAGGAGGCTTTGCTCCCAGCAAGGCACCAGCTTTGCGAAACCCAGTAACGTGTCTAAGCCCCGGGGCTCTCCGCTGCGAGGGGGGCCAGGAGAGGGACACGGCCTGGTGGGGAGGGGGCGGCCTACCGGGCTTTTCCAGAGGCAGGAAACGTGGCATCTGCCCGCGTGTCGGTGCGCGCCCCCAGCCCGGTGCCCGCCGCCGCTTCTTGCTCGCGGCTTCGCGCCGCTCTCACGCCACACCACGGCCTCGCTCCCGCCCCAGCGGCTTCTCGTCGCCCTCCTTCCTTCCGTCTGTGCTCTTCCTGGGCGTGGCGGGCCATTCTGAGATCACACCGCGCCCCCTTTCCCTGACAACTTGCTGCCCGGCCCTCTCCTCCCGGAAGTCCTCTGCGACGCTCCTCCCGACAGCTCCCGGAAGGGCCCTGGTGAGGACCGCGAGGAACAAGCCGCCGCGTGCCTCTCCCGGCTTCCGGCTGCCGGCTGCCGCTTCCGGCTTCCGGCGGTGTGCCGGGGTTGTCTGGTGTCCGTCCGTCGGCGTGTAGGAGTATTGCCCCGGTCTCCGTCCGCCTCCGTCCCCGCACGGCCCACAGAGACACCAGCCATATTGGGTAAGGCCAGCTCCTAACGACCTCGTTTTTAACTTGATGACCTCACTGAAGACCTTGTCTCCGCACGCGGTCACATTCTGAGCTCCTGGGTGGTAGAGAGTCGACATCTGAATTTGGGGGCATACATTTTAACCCATAACAGACTCCATTATCTGTGCTCCCATAAAGCCCTTGAGACATCCCTGTCACTGCTTTATAATTGTACAAAGGACTATTTTCGTCACTGGCCTGTGAGCTTCTTTGCAGAGGTGCTGTGTTATCTGATCTTTACACATCCAGTGCCCAGCAGAGTGTCTGGCACAGCATAGGAACCAAATGGACGGATGAACAAATGGATGGGTGAATAGGGCGGCTGCGAAGAACCAAAACATTCTGAATAAACTGTGCAGATTCACTCCAGAGCCAACCTAAACGTGCAATTTTATGTTTGCTTATATATATACACACACAAGATTTTACATTAGGACTCATCACGTATGCAGGTGTAATTAGTATGCTTAAGCCACCCCTCCCTCAGTTGTGTATTTGTCAAGTTTTACTCAGCTCTGAACCAGGCCCTTGCCTTTCCTTTTGCCTTTCTGGTCTTATCACCAAGAGAGGGCTTCTTCTGAAGCCTTTCTCTTTCCCACCTCAATAAGTGGTTTCTTGGAGTCAGAGCCATTGGGTAAATGCAGGGCACTTCCCGGTGCCCCCAGTGCTGAGCACGTTTCCATCACTTTTTTTATTCCTGTTGCCTTTGCACAACTCCATGCAATGAACTTTTCCTTCCCTTGTGCTGCCCTCTGGCACTTCTTGCTTGGCTCATTCTTCCCCTGGGGGAGATCTGGTCAGGAAGAGAAGTGCCTTTAGGCAGAATGCTGCCCAGAAGACATCCCACCCCCACCTTACTAAGAAATTGCTGATTCCATAATTATTTCCCAATTCTCACTGCAAATATTTGCATAACAAATACAGAGACCTCAGAACCGGCAGCTTAGCTGGCCCTCAGATGCAGCGGATAGACTCTCCAGCTCTTTCGCTCCCAAGGCATTTGGGTTAAAATGCTTAGGATGTTTTTCAAAAGCCCTGGGCCATCTCCAAATCTGGATTTGCTCTGGCCCACTCTGAGTCATTCTGTGTTATTTACACCTCTAGAAGTTCTTCTTCCCTGTCTATTGGAAGGGCCAGGCACCCGACACAACACAGTCAGATGGGGGAAAGAAGATGTAACATACGTGCATGTGTGTCTCTTGGTTTTAATTATGTATGACCTGATTCCCACAAATATTTTTAATAAATATACACACTTGCATTAAAGTTCAAGAATAAAGTTCGTGTCGTGAGTGCCTGAGTTTTCCTAGGAGGAAAGGCACTAACAGAAACATCAGGCCATCTGGAAACCTGCTCTTGGCTTACATAAGGGCAATAAAAGACAGAATTAGGAGTTAGCAAGGGAGCAGATAGGAAATGAGAAGAAAGAACAAAAATAAAGGCAAAGAGAGGGAAAGAAAAGGGTGGGGAAGGGAGTATTCCTTAGGAAATTGACCCTACTCACAACGGGGGAAGAAGTACTTTAAAAATCAATAGACAGGTGTTTCCTATTCCTCTCTCATGTACACACATACACACCTAGGCCCAAAATACACAAGTTGCTATTTTACAATAGCCCATAAGAAAATTCTTTATATTCTGCCCAAACCCCAAAACCGTGAGCCCATGATCCAGGTTAGACCATGCATCTGTATATATTAATATTTTTATTCTGTTTTGTTTATTAACACAAGCCCTAAGACACAATACCTTGGGCCGACCTTCAGAAATGCACTGGCATATTCTGTCTTCCTAATATTCTTGGACACTGCCAGAAACTAATAGGCTCAAATCAATCCCCACTGGATTGTAAACCCCAATAGAAGAGGCTCCAATAGTTTCTTCATGAGGATCTGCTTTGATGTTGTCCTTTCTGGGGGAAGGGAAAACAAATGGAGGGAGGGAGGAAGATATGGGGAAAAGAGGGAGGAAGGGACTGAGAGGGGGTGTGGGGAAAGAGGGGAGAAAGGGAGAAAGGAGGGAGGTCTGTCTTTGACAAGAAGGCTGAAGGCACACATTGGAAATGAGGATGATGTGTGTGGCCAGCTATGATTTTGACATCAATCAATAGATTGTCATTGGCCCGTCGGTGACAGAGGCTCTATTCACGCTGCACCTCCCCCAAATCCCACACAGGGCCCAGTGTAATGTTCTGAATTGGTGGTTCATTCACTGAGCACCCTGCATGCACTGGGCTCAATGACACACTGTTCCAACTCCCACAAAGTTCACCCTCTGAAGGGGAAGAGAAATGGACATTGGCGGGAACCTGAAAACACCACAGTTCTATTTGAACACACAAATATAAATTCATGCACTCACTTTCCAGCCCCAATTTCTATTTCTCATTACTGGAGAATTAGAAAAGAGCGTTGACCCCTCTGGGTAGACAAGCTCTACAGATCCAGGGGGTCTGCAACTGTTCATGGTGGCCCTGTTCGTTAAGCACGCTCTAGACGTCTAGAGTCCAAGGGGAGAGGATCTGTGGTTTATCCTGGATTCTGAAGGGGCTGTATGGTCACATCTCTGGGTATGTTGTCTATTCATTTACAGAGAAAAAAAAATGGAAGGTTAGAAACTGAATATTCCTTTGTATCTTTTTTTTCAAAATATCAACTGAAGCTCCCGTGTATTAAAACATTTTTGTTAATGTTTTAAATGTCTATCTAGGCACCTGGGTATGCTAATGGATATTTCTCTTTAATCCAAATGACAGAGCTCTACACAACTCCTAAAGAAAAGTTGTTCTGTTGTGGTGCTCCATTTTACTAATTCAGAAACCTGACATTTCTGGAGGAGCGGCGACAAGCAATTTCACAATGATAAATTTTATAAGACAAAATACTCTGCTCCATGGAGCTCAGGAGTAATTTCAAAGAAAGATAAACAGTCACAACATTTAATGCATAAACAAATGTGGCAGGATAATTTATTGAGATATTAATTTGTGATTTTTTTTTTCTTGCTCCCATAGGAGCCTGGCAAGATAGGAAGGAATCATCCTTCTCCCAGGCAAGAAGGTGGGCATGATCTGAATGTAGACTCCTTTGCCTGTGTTATTAACTCATTTTGAGACCTACAGTTAAGGCTACCAAGCACCCACCAATGAAAAGAGCTGTAGCTACAAAGGGCAGCAGAACCAGAGTGGTCTGGCTTGGGGGGATGGAAAACGTCCCCCAAGATGTCAGAAGCGCGGTAGATGTGGAGATTCTGTAAGTGGCGGATAGCCATATGCCAAATGCTCACAGAATCCCAAGAATATGGGAGACCAGAAGGATCCTAGAGAGGTGGTCCCCAGCTTTCCCTAAGCAGCTTTGTTCGAACTACCTTGGTCATAAGTAATCACTCTTGCAATCCCAGCCTCAGCCCCAGTGTTATCTTTGGTCATGAGAACTCTAAACCTGCATTGGCCCCAGCTTCTTCACTCCTCAGCAACATGTTCTGCTAAACCACCTCGGGTTATATTTCAAAGACTGGTCAGAAACTCTTTGCATCTCTTCCCATGAAGAAGTGGAGTCTGTATGTTTCTGCCTCTTGAATCTGGCTTTGGCCATGTGACTTGCTTTGGCCAAGAGAACTCACACAGAAGCTTGCAAAGTGCCTGCTCGTATGGGCTTCTCTTCTCTTACTGCTTTTAGAACATAGCCTCCAAGTACAGAAGCCTGAGATTGCCTGCTAGATGCTGGACAAACAGGGCCCAGCAGCCAGCATTACCAGAGCCAACCACCAGATGTGGGAGTGAAGCCACTGGGACCAACAGCCCCCAGGTGACTTGTCTGTCAGCTCTCTGGTTTGCTAAGCAATGTAAGATAAAAGGCTCTGTCAAGCACTTTCCCAAGCCAATAGCTATGAACTAGCCACTCACATAAGTTATTTTCCTTGTAAGAAAGTAATTCTGATGAACTTGGAAGACACTATGTCGAGTGAAATAAGCCAGTCTCAGGACAAATACTGTATGATTCCACTTATATAAGGAACCTAAAATAGTCAAACTCATAGAAGCAGAGAATAGAATGGTGGTTGCCAGGGGCTGGGGAGAAAGGGAAATGGGGACTTGTCTGATAGGTATAGTGTTACTTATGCAAGATGAGTAAATGATAGAGACCTGTTGTACAATGTAGTGCTACAGTGCCTACAGCTAATAATACAGTGTTGTACACTTACAAATTTGTTGAGAGGGTAGATCTCATGTTAAGTGTCTTATACAGAAGGTGGGGAGGGATACAAGGAAAATTTTGGAGGTTGATTCTTTTTTTTTTTT